GCTTACTGCAACCTCTACGTCCTGGGTCCAAGTGGTTCTCCTGACTCAGCCTCCCAAGTAGCGGGGATTACAGGCACCTACCACCATGCCAGGTAATTTTTGTATTTTTAGTAGAAATGAGGTTTCACCATGTTGGCCAGGCTGGTCTTGAACTCCTGACCTCAGGTGATCCACCTGCCTCGGCCTCCCAAAGTGCTGGGATTACAGGTATGAGCTATTGTGCCCAGCCAAGTCTGGAGTCTTCTTTAAGGGAAGATTTGTCAACTATAAATTCAATACTTTAATAGACATAGAGCTATTTAAGTTGTCTATTTCCTTCTTTTTAAAAAGCATTTAAATTTTTAATATTTGTAGGTATATAGTAGGTGTATATATTCATGGGGTACATGTTCTGATACAAGCATGCAATGTGTAATAATCACATCACGAAGAATGGGGTACTCATCCCCTCAAAAAAAATAAAATAAAGATGGTTATACCACAAAGTATGTTGCAATGCCTTAACTGTATGCATGTCAGGGCCTCTTCCATCCTTTCGTACAATACGTTTTCTTTTGAGACAAAGTCCCACTCTGTCGCCAGATTGGAGTGCAGTGGCTCAATCTGGGCCCACTGCAACCTCCGACTCCCTGGTTCAAGTGATTCTCCTGCCTCAGGCTTCCAAGTAGCCGGAACTACAGGCGTGCACTGCTACACCCAGCTAATTTTTGTATTTTTAGTACAGATGGGGTTTCACCATGTTGGCCAGGCTGGTCTCGAACTTCCGACCTCAAGTGATCGGCCTGCCTTGGCCTGCCAAAGTGAGCCACCATGCCCGGCCTACTTTTCTAGTTTCTTAAGGTGACTGCTGAGGTCACTGATTTGAGATCTATCTTTTAATACTGTTTTAGCAGCATCCCACCAGTTTTAAATGCTGCATTTTCATTTTCATTCTGTTCAAAATACTTTTTTTTTTTTTTTTTTTGAGACGGAGTCTCGCTCTGTCGCCCAGGCTGGAGTGCAGTGGCCGGATCTCAATTCACTGCAAACTCCGCCTCCGGGGTTCATGCCATTCTCCTGCCTCAGCCTCTGGAATAGCTGGGACTACAGGCGCCTGCCACCTCGCCTGGCTAGGTTTTTTTTGTATTTTTTAGTAGAGACGGGGTTTCACCGTGTTAGCCAGGATGGTCTTGATCTCCTGACCTCGTGATCCGCCCGTCTCGGCCTCCCAAAGTGCTGGGATTACAGGCTTGAGCTACTGCGCCCAGCCTCTCAAAATACTTTCTAATTTCCTTTTTGATTTCTTCTTTGAATCATGAGTTATTTATTTATTTATTTATTTATTTTTTTTTTTTGAGGAGTCTCACTCTGTCGCCCAGGCTGGAGTGCAGTGGGGCGATCTCGGCTCACTGCAAGCTCTGCCTCCAGGGTTCACGCCATTCTCCTGCCTCAGCCTCCCAAGTAGCTGGGACTACAGGCGCCCGCCGCCACGCCTGGCTAATTTTTTGTATTTTTAGTAGAGACGGGGTTTCACCGTGTTAGCCAGGATGGTCTCGATCTCCTGACCTTGTGATCCACCCTCCTCAGCCTCCCAAAGTGCTGGGATTACAGGCGTGAGCCACCGCGCCCGGCCACCATGAGTTATTTAAAAATGAGTTTAAAAAATATACAAAAAATGAAAGTGAGTTATTCAGGTTCCAAATATTGAAAGGATTTTCCAATCCATTACTAATTTCTACTTTAATATTCAGTATCATTCTGGTCAGCTAACATACTTGTTTAAGAGACCAGAATATGATCAGGCTCAGTTAACGTTTTAATGCACTTGAAAAACTGTGTATTCTGCTGTTATTGTGGGGAGTGTTCCATAAACATTCATTAGGTCAAGTTGACTGACAGTCATGTCAAGTCTCCTATATCTTTAGTGATTTTCTGGGTATCTATCCATTTATTCTCTATTTATTGAGAAAGAATATTCTCCAACTAATCAATCTCCAACTACAATTGTGATATTTCTCTCTCCTTGGAGCTATTAGTTTACGCTTTGTGTATTTTAGAGCTTTGTTATTAGGTGCATAAATGTTTAAGATCATCAAGTCTTTTTGATGAATTCATCCCTTCATCATTATAAAATGATCCTCTTAATCTCTTGTAATCCTCTTTGCTATGAAATTTTGGAAATCAGGTATGGGGATTAAGACTATAAATTCAGTTTTGGGTATATACATGTTTATATACGTAGCGGTATCTCAGAACAAACATCCGAGAGTTCACATGAGATACGGAGATAGATATTCGGGTTAAGATGGTATTACTACAGCATCTACTTCAACGCCGATAAATAAAGGTGCTCCAGAAATATTTGTAAGATAAGGAGTCCGACTCTGGTTTCCAAAGTGATGACAAGGTTTAGAAATGTCCAGGCAATCCCAGGTCATGCCAGTGTAAGTTCATGGCCTCCAAATGAGTGCTTGAACGCTATCATGCTTTCCAGTTTTCGCTAGGTTTTTCGTAACAGCTATTTTATATCTTTTTGACACTGCTTAAATCTTGGGATTCCTACTTCCCCTCTCACTTTCAGTGGAAGCTTTTCTTTCCTCATTCCCAATGAAAACAGAAGCCATTAGAGAATTCCTTCACCTTCATTCCAATAAATACATAAGGTCACCTGCAACTGCAGCCCATTTTTCTCCCTAAGTGTTTTTCCTATGTCCAAAGCAAGTATCTCTATCTATGCTTTGGATGCCATTCCCCTCCTATGTTGTAAGAGATAGAAGATATCTCATTAAGATACAATTATCTTATTATTCCTCTTTTTTCTGTACCAGCAAACCTTCTCTCCCTTCCATCAGCTTTAGGCTGCTCGAGAATCTCTCCTCTTAAAACATCTCATCATCCTTCTAGCTCTCTAAGCTAAGGATGCTGAATTTGTTGGCCTAAAGTTGTTCACATTCTCCTCCACAGACAAACGTCTTATCTCCACTTGCCATCTCTACTTCATCATCTCTTCATTCCTCTACTATGGTGATATGTAGCTTCCACCTCATTACTCCAGTGAAGCTATTCTTGGTGAGATGACCAGTGATCCGTTGTGAATAAATCTACACGTATCTTCCATTTCTTTTTCTACTTGACTTTTAAGCAGCATTCGACACTTAACTGCATTCTCTGCCCTGCACATCCTTGTTCCTTGGCTCTGTGACAACACTCTCTTGGTTTTCTTCCTCCTTCACTGGCTGCCCTTTCTCCACAAGCTGTCTATTCTCTGAAGATTCTAACCTCTTTATGTCTAGTACACCATCTCTGTTGGTCCTCTCTTCAGCTCCTACAGCCAACTGCCACCTCTACGCTGAGGATGCCCAGATGTCTGTCTCCAGCAGGGATTCTTTCCTGATCTCTCAATCCTTCTTTTCCACAGCCCACCAGACAAATGCGCTGGCTGGAAAAGCCAGAACTTGTATTGAATTTTAGCTGTATCACTTGTTGACCCTGGCCAAGTAATGGCATTGTTGAGCATATTTTCTCATCCCAAAAATAAAGGGGGTTAATTATACTGTGCTTTCTTCACAAAGATGCTTTAGGACCATTACAATGAACCCTTACAGAAAAGGATGTTGCAAGCAATGAATCAGTGCATAAACTAAGCTATTGCTACTGTTATTTTTGTTATATGTATTTTTAAAGATCTCATTTGGCTACATGTAACACTTCATTCCATAAAATAGGTAAGTGTTCCAGTGAGCTCAGTCTATTATCTTTTAATGATAAAGATAACAGATGTTAGCTTCTGGGACGGCTAAGAGGCTGATTTGAGCTTTAGAATCCATTTTTGAGTTTGAGAACAAATAACTCTATGGAAAGGGTTGCAACCTCAAATGACTATAGGAACCAGGCAGGTAACACACGTGAGCCAATCTGGTCAGGCAAACGACTGTGTCTTACCTGGAGGGACCGCTCTAGGTAACTGGTAACACACATCATTTGGGGTCCAATATTGACAGGTTTGATTTTTCCACAGAAGCTGGAAAACTAGGTTTTTAACGTTCAGGACTTTCAATGATGATGATGATGATGATGATTTTTTTTTTTTGAGGCGGAGTCTCAGGCTGGAGTGCAGTGGCACCCGCCTCCTGGGTTCAAGCGATTCTCCTGCCTCAGTGTCCCGAGTAGCTGGGATAACAGGCACCTGCCACCACGCTCAGCTAATTTTTGTATTTTTAGTAGAGACAGGGTTTCACCATGTTGACCAGGCGGGTCTGAAACTCCTGACCTCAGGTGATCCGCCCGCCTCGGCCTCCCAAAGTACCGGGATTACAGGCGTGAGCCACAGCGCCTGGCATCAGTCTTTAAATGACAGCAACTAATTCACCTCCTGCTACCCACTCCCAACCCCCAAATACTGTGTGGGCCAAAAACTAAAAATGCACTGTCTGTGAGCCATTTCCTCATTATCCTAGAAGGAACGTCACCTTTTCATCTCCAAATGGTTGGGCATTATGAACCCTTCCAAGTGGTTCATGAGGACTTGCTTTTGCCTTGGAAAATGTCAGGGTGCGAACGAACCTTGAGGGTCACAGGGCAGTCTCTGCAGTGTTGTGGTTGCCCAGGACGAAGGTTTTCTAGCCCACAGCTCCCACTATTGGTCACTCCCCCGCCCAGACCCTGGCCCTCTGCTCGGAAGACAAGGCATTGCAGCAGCGTTTCCCTTGCCAACTGCCTGCCTGGCTGCTGGGAGGGGGCTGCCAAGCTTAGTCGCTAAGCGTCACAGGAAACTCCGACCTCCATGAGACAAAAAGCAAGTATTTATTGATAGCTTAACGCACGCTAACTCCTTGCTCCTTAGCCAACTGAGAGAAAAATTCGCGAACCCATTCGCAAACGCGGCGCTAACAGCAAACGGGAGGCTGACTCCACCCAGAGGATGGCGAAGCGCTTAAATCGAAGACACCTGAGAAGGAGCCTCCCACAAAACAGACCATGTGGGGAACGGTACCGGGAGTTGGGCTGGGGCGCTGAACTACCTGGGCGGGAACCGCCGCGGCGACCGCTCCGCGCGCCTCCGCTGGAGTCAGCCCGGCCGGGAGCTTGATAACCGGAAGTTCGTCACAAGCCCGGCGACGCCGCGCACGCGCTGTCTCCGTCAGACCTCCGCGCCGGAGCGCGCAGCCAGGAAGCGAGGCCGCGGCGAAGGGGACGGGGCTGCGCCCCGACGCCGCCTGACGCGACGCGTCCTCACGCGCGAGTACGTCACGGCGTCGGGGCGGAAGATGGTGCAGCTCCGGGCCGGCGGTTACTGAGCTGACCCGGACGGCGAGGGAGCGGGAGCCCGAACCCGACCACTCCGGCTGCCGCGGGGTGCGGCGCAGCCACTGCCATGTCGCTGCTGCAGTCGGCGCTCGACTTCTTGGCGGGTCCAGGCTCCCTGGGCGGTGCTTCCGGCCGCGACCAGAGTGATTTCGTGGGGCAGACGGTGGAACTGGGCGAGCTGCGGCTGCGGGTGCGGCGGGTCCTGGCCGAAGGTGAGGCCCCGGGTCGGCAGCGCGGGTGCGGCCGCGGAGTGTTGTCTCCGGGACGCTGGGGGCAGCGTCAGCTTGGAGTGGAAGGGCGTGGGTTAGGGGTCCCAGCGTGGGTTGTGGGTCAGGGTCGGCCAGGGCAGGGTCTCTGCCGAGGGCGTGGGTCAGGGCCAGGCGAGGGTCACAGTGGGGGGCCCCGTAGGTCAGTGCCTGCTGGCAGTGATTGCGGAGGGCGAGGCTGGGGCCGGGGTACTTTCTTGTGATAGGAGTAGGGTCAAGTTGGAGCAAGGCCTGGGGCTTGGGGAACCCCCCAGGGTGGGTGGGCGAAGATGTTAGGGTGAGGTGGGAGATGGTGGCAGGCGGGGAGCTTGGGTGGGGGCCTACAGGGGAGGCTGAGGGAGGGTGCTGGAAGGCCGACAGCTGGAGTCAGGAGGTGAGCGGTGCAGGAGGGGGTTTAAGTCTTGGTCTTTTGCCGGACATCTAGGGTTATTGAGCAGGCAGGGACAGGACTGGACTTTGGAGGTTAGGGCTCATTCTTCTACAGTTCAGGGAACTTGACAGTAGGTGGATGGACACGTGTTGCAGGTAGTTGCGGTCGTAGCCTGGGGGGTGGGGGGTTGGCTGAGGGTAGACAGGGCTCTGTCTAGTGATCCCCGTTCCTCCTCTTAACACCTCAGTGTTTCTCTTCCCGGTGAACATCTACTCGTGTGATTCTGTGTGTGGTACAGGAAACAGAGCCAGTAGTTGCGACCTATATAGAATTTGCAGAGTGGACAGGTCACTCGGCTTAAGTCCTCTTGAGTCAGTCTTGAGTTAGTTTTGTCTCTGCCTGCCATTTCTAGCCGCCTGAACGTCCTCTCCGTTCACACGGAATCGATCTCCAGTGTCAGTGAGTCCCCTTCTCTCTTGTGGATTTTCCTTCCATTTTTTGTCCAGTGGTGCCTGGAGGTGTGTCACGTTTCACTGGCTGTGAAGTTTGTTTGCTAAACATGGTTGACTTCGGTGCGGAAGCGTGACTCTATTCTGCTGTATTGGCACAGGGCAAGGGAGTGAAGTGACACAAAAGCCCTCACCCTCACCAGCTCCGTGGTACCTCTCAGGCCTGGAGGGTTAGCCTGTCCAGGTGCCTGCCCTGTGACCAGATGGGAAACTATCCCAGACTTCTGATGATCACAGAAGGTCTGCGGAGACGTTTTGACTGCAGCGTTGTCACACACTTTGTCTCCGTTGTGGTCAAAACCAAACGGATTTTGGGTACAATTTGGTCAGCTCCAAGCTCTTCTTTCAGAGGTGGGGGCTGAAGTGTGATACTCTTTCACATCTTCTGTTAGAAACAGATTTCTCTCAGATCAGCTCAATTAATCTGAAAATACTAGGTGGTTATCTTCATTCTTTAAGAAATTCATAGTGGACAGGACTTGGTTTCTGGAACGTCAGACCGGTGCTCAAGCGGTGGAGAGACAGAGGCAGCATAGGGACGGATCCTTGGCTGTGGGATCCCTGGGGTGGTACACACAGTATGAGCTCTGGGAAGGAGTCAAGCAGAAGATGGCACGGATCAGGGTTTGAGGGATGGAGAATGCACCCTCAGTGGGGCCCGGAGAGGAAGATTCGTGTAAAGAAAGAAGCCTGTGGGTCACTTAGCACCCAGGAAGAAGAACAAGGAAATGTGGGTGGCCGCTGAGGTTGTGCAAAGGAACTTGTTTCCCTTTGCTATCTAGGCGAGTCAGGAGATAAAAATAACCAATGCAATTAGGAGCTGTAGATTTCCTCCTTGTGAGCTTAATAGGTGGCCTGCAGCCTCCTAAGTTCTTTGAAGTCTCTTTGAACTGAAACAGGGTGTGAAAGCTGAATTAAGTATTTTGTATAAACATACTTAAATAAGTTTTGTCTGGACAGCAACCTTAGAACATAGGCTATGGGAGTTCAGGCTGTCTTGTGTAAACATGGCGATGGCCCGTGATCTGAACCCTTGACTACAGATGTTTATGATTCCAGAATTTTTCAGGTTTCAGAATGATCATTGCGGCATGTAACCTGTATATCATGGAATGTTCCCAGAGAACTTGGGAAAGTATTCTGTAATTGAATACATTGATGTTTCTGTAATTAAATGACAATATTCTCACTGTGGGATAAAGTCTGCGATTAGCTCCGTATCAGTTCATGTCAGGTTTTATCCCAAATGAGGTTATGATAGACTAGGATTTGCTGTCAAGTGAGTTAGGAAAAAACGGTTTTCTTAGCTTTTAGGAATTTGGACTTGTGGTGTGAATGGGTTTTTAGGTAGAACTGTGGAACCGCATAGCTTTCAAATTTCTTCAAATTTGTTCTGTCATCTTCCTTTTTTTTTTTCTTTAAGAGACGAGGTCTTGCTGTTACTCGGGATGGATTTGAACTGGGCTCTGGATCTTCCTGCCTCAGCCTCCCGAGTGGCTGGGATTACAGGCATGTGCCGTCTCCCACCTGGCTAGTCTTCACTTTTTTAAAAGGCAGGTTATCAGGAGCACCAACCGTGTCAGAGATGCCCAGGGCAGGTGTATGCTGTGTGTTCTTTGTTTTGGGTTCTGCGTGCCGTTGCTTTTGAAATGGAGCCTGCCGTGCCCTGACTGCAGGGAAATCCACCTTCCCTGTGTGGCTGACTTGAACTCAGTGTTACTGCTAGTGAGGTAAATTGAGGCAGAAAATGAAAACGATGCTGCACAGTTGTCGTGTGGTTTAAGCGTGACTCGCCTCGTGCGTTTGGTTGGGTGTTGCATGTAATTTCTGCCAGCCAGCAGCCCTTGTGTGCCATGCTCAGTATTAGCTGAGTGGCTGGGCCTGCTCAGGAGCCTTGGGGATCAAGCTCTGGCCTAAGGAATGGGGAGGGCACAGCCTACTTGCACCCCCAGGGCCACTTGTTTGTGATCCTGGCTTTCCACCCTTCTTCCTCTTTGACATGGCTTTTGGAGGCTTCCTCCCTTCACTTACGTAGAATTCTGGACTGGGTGAGGGCACTGGGAATATTTAGTACTGACAGTTGCAGAATTGTATGGTACAGACAAGACTCTTGGCCGCAAGTTTCAGAAACCCTCCCAGGTGGGCTCAGTGGCAGGGAGGCCCCATGTTTCCAAGGTGGGCTCGGTGGTGGGGGGAGGCCACATGCTGGCCCTGCGTGTCCTCTGCAGGGTACACTTGAGATCATTTTCTTTTATTGGAAAGAGTCTGGCTCTGTTGCCCAGGCTGAGTGCAGTGGAACGATCACGACTCACTGCGGCCCTGAACTCCTGGGCCCACGTGATCCCCCGGCCTTGGCCTCCCAGAGTGCTGGTATGACAGGCGTGAGCTAATGTGTCCAGTCTTAGACAGATCTTAAAAGTAGATAGACCCGGCCGGGCACAATGGCTCATGCCTGTAATCCCAGCATTTTGGAGGCAGAGGTGGGCAGATCACCTGAGGTCAGGAGTTCGAAACCAGCCTGGCCAACATTCCAAAACCCCATATCTACTAAAAATACAAAAATTAGCTGGGCGTGGTGGCGTGTGCCTGTAGTCCTGCTACTCAAGAGGCTGAAGCAGGAGAATCACTTGAACCCGGGAGGCGGAGGCTGCAGTGAGCCGAGATTGTGCCATTGGACTCCAAGCCTGGGCGACAGAGCGAGACTCTATTTCAAAAAAAAAAATAGACCCTTAGGTTGCTGTGGCGAGCCAGCCTTGTAGCACACCCTCTTCCCACATAGGACTTGGGACTGAGGGCACCAGCCTCTGAAGCTCTGTGCTGTTCTCTTGGCCACCAAGGTTCTGCCATCCTTGCTTCTTTGTACCTCTGCTGGACCCAGAGCCTGAAGTGCGGGGGCTGCACTCACCCAGGGAGGGGTGCGGGGCAGTGCAGAGCGCAGGTAACCAGGGACGGGTGCGGGGCAGTGCAGAGCGCAGGTAACCAGGGATGGGTGCGGGGCAGTGCAGAGCGCAGGTAACCAGGGACGGGTGCGGGGCAGTGCAGAGCGCAGGTTACCAGGGGCAGTTGCTGGGCGGTGCAGAGCGCAGGTAACCAGGGAGGGGTGCGGGGCAGTGCGGAGCGCAGGCAACCAGGGACGGTTGCGGGAGGGTGCAGAGGTTGCAGGAGGGTGCAGAGCGCAGGTAACCAGGGAGGGGTGCGGGGCAGTGCAGAGTTCAGGTAACCAGGGACGGGTGTAGGGCAGTGCAGAGCGCAGGTGAGCAAGGAGGGGTGCGGGGCAGTGCGGAGCACAGGTAACCAGGGCCTCTGGGGCTTGGGTAGTTGGTTCTAGGTCATCAGGCCTGTGAGGCTCGTATTCTGCCACGTGAGTAGCTGCCCTCTCATGACCCTCCCCATCACAGAGTGGCTGCCCTCTCGCGGCTCTCCTCATACCCCCTTCACTTCCAGGTTGACGGCTTGATCATGAACCTTTGTCCACTTTGACTAGTTCCCAGTGTGAAATAGTAATGGTCAGAACCACCATGGCAACATTTAGGGGCTGTTAGTATTTGCCGAGCTCAGTCTGTAGTGCTTTATGTGGATTGTGTGTGCAGAGACCAGCTCTGTCGGGGAGACCCTAACCCAGCGGTGCTAGAGGAATTAAAGACACACACACAGAAATACAGAGGTGTGAAGTGGGAAATCAGGGGTCTCACAGCCTTCAGAGCTGAGAGCCCCGAACAGAGATTTACCCACGTATTTATTAACAGTAAGCCAGTCATTAGCGTTGTTTCTATAGATACTAAATTAACTAAAAGTATCCCTTATGGGAAATGAAGGGTTGGGCTGAATTAAAGGAATAGGTTGGGCTAGTGAACTCCAGCAGGAGCATGTCCTTAAGGCACAGATCGCTCATGGTATTGTTTGTGGCTTAAGAGTGTCTTTAAACGGTTTTCCGTCCTGGGTGGGCCAGGTGTTCCTTGCCCTCATTCTGGTAAACCCACAACCTTCCAGCGTGGGCATTATGTGCATCACGAACATGTCACAGTGCTGCAGAGATTTTGTTTATGGCCAGTTTTGGGGCCAGTTTA